GTTTGCATTTTCAGTATTAATAACATACCATTTAAATAAAACAATTTAACGGTTTAAAACGCTATTATATTAGTTAAACTTATTTGAAAACGATTTTTAACTTCGGCCCGACGTTTCGGATGCCTTGCAGCAGCCGTGGTCACTGGGAGACATCATTTTCAAATAAGTTTAACTAATTATCGCGTTTTAAATGTCTTTTATTTAAATGTGTACTACTCGCGTAAACTATATACAGTATCTAATAACATACGAACTAAATATGTTAATTGTTACCCTGTGTTGTTTAAAATATTGCTAGCATACCCATAGGTCTGCAACAAAGTTTAAGTAGAAAGAAGACACTTTCTCTAGTCATATTCAAATGTTTATATACATTTGAAAGTCCTTTTTGATTGAAAAGTTATTGACAGGCGAGACTCTTAATCAATATCATACGTTTCGATGTATAGGACATTGTACCTTAATTGGTAATAGTTTAAGTGGAAATTACAATACGCAATTTTGATGTCATCAAAATTCGATGATTATAGGAGTAATGTGGTAGCCTACTGCGTCATGCAACGGTACAGTACGCAGTTGGTCGTGGATTCAAATCCTTCCTGTGAGGGCCTGAATATGTATGTAAAATAATAAATCTAGGATAAATAAATTAATTTAACTTCATTATATAACACCCTAGCTGTGTCCCCTACTCGCCCGCGTGGAATAGTGACTTTAAGTATAATTTTTAGTTTAGGCTGTTTCTTTATTTATTAAAGGACGCATTCAAGGCAGCCAATCTGTGTTACTTTGCCGGAACAATGCCACTCTCGCCTCACATCACTCCTACCCTAACTCCCACTCTCACTCCCATTCCCAAAAAACCAAAGAAGAAAGTTTAAAGTTGGCGTTAATAATTTGGTTTAGTAGTGACTTATGTCCTTTCTCAGGCTCTTACAAGTTTGAACATATGACATACGTCTTTACGACGATTGTAAAACATTCACGTTTCAAGGTTACTTTGTCTTAATCAATTTGTCATATTATTTCTTACCAAAACATCGATAGAATCGCGAATTAGGCGTCCTAACTTAAAATGTACTCGTTTAACCTTGATGGATCTTGGTTGTTTGGTTCCGCGTACCATAGAATATACAATCATCGAATAAGAATAAATCTACAAGAACGTTAAAATAACTTCAAGATGTTTAATATTATTAATGAATGTTCGTACTTATTGTAATTAAAATGTTGAGTAAATATTAAATAAATCTCTCTTAGAACTTAACCCATAAACGACTACATCGGCTGTCGAAGCTAAATAATATTAACATTAAAAATACTAAAACTGAAATTCTTGTCGACAACTTCGTAATTATAGCAGTGTTTTTGAAGTGTCCACATCAAAAATAAATGCTTTAAAATGTGTGACAAACAGTTAATAAAACAGAGTTCGTTAAAAAGTCCTTATGGCGCCAAGAAGAGGGGGAGACATGTCCTCATCAAGTTACCAGAATCTAACAAAAACAGGTACGTTTGTTCTTTAGTTATATCTTATATTATTAAAGCAAAGGCACTCAAGAGTGAACACTACATAAAGATGGACGGTGAATTCGAGGTGGTAAAGGATATATTTTTCCAAAACAAGATAGCCACGTCAAACCACAAAGCTACGAGATGGTTGCGAAAACTATAGACAATTTATGCGTCACTTAAAAATGTTTTAAAACACTTTAATATTAGGTACAGTAGCATAGCCACGATGCCACGCCAAAAAAGGGAATGCTTTATGTCAAAAATGAACACTCAATACGTAGGATAATCTAATTCTATTTATAGACAAAATTTAAAACCATTTATTGATATACAGTTATAAAAAAAAATATACTTACTTAAAAACAAAGAAGTAGAAATTAACATCTAATTCTGTAGTTTACGCGAGTAGTACACATTTAAATAAAACAATTTAACGGTTAAAAACGCGATATATGTTGTGTACGTCAAGGTACAAACGTCGGGTCACAGTTAAAACTAATTTGAAATAAGTTTAACTAACAAATATCGCGTTTTAAACCGTTAAAGTGTTTTATTTAAATGTGTACTACTTAAATCAAAGGCGTTAGGAAATGGGCTTAAGAGCTGTTCTATAGCGTATTCTGTAACGGTTGTATACATATAATATGAAAAAATAACTAAATAATTAGTTAAAATTTATTTCGATCGTCATTTATTTCTGAAGAATGCCTATCAGTAACTATTTCTTTTATTGAATATTTAAAACGATAGTGAGCAAATTCTTGTCACTAAGTGGAGGTTATTATAAATAGGTACATACAATAGATTTACTTCGATCGATCTCAGTTCAGCATACTGCGCAGAGATAAGTGTAGTTACTTATACTGGGATACTCCGTAATTCTTCAATACGACGATGAGACTTCATTTTAGAGGATCGGCTTATGTCCAAAGCAATAAATAGGTCGACGGCCCATCTTAGTTTAATGTTGAAAAGTAAATGAAGAGACGTTAATAATATGGGCACGGGATATTTCAACTTCTATCAAGTGAATGTTTGTATTTCTCAGAAAATTAAAACGAATCCTATTGATATCTTTTTTCCTTCCTTCATTGCTACATATTGTAGGTGTCGAATTAAAAATATTTCCCACACATATTACTTTGCCTAACCAGACATTCAAAACGCGATATCTATTAGTTAAGTTTATCTAGAAATTATTTAATTGCGGCCCGACGTTTCGGATGCTTTGCAGCAGTAGACACGGGAGACCACGGTTGTGGGGGAAAATAATTTCCAAGTTGAACTAATATATATCGCGTTTTAAACCGTTAAAGTGTTTTATCTAAAGTGTAGTATCTACTCGCGTAAATAACAGACAGTATTTAGGATTAACAGAATTTTGCCGACGATACAAATCGTGTAATAAGGAAAAACCATGTCTAATACTGTACGTCACCAAATTCTTATGGAAAACGTAATAACGGCATCTACTAAATAATTTAACATAAGAATATTCTTTTTATAGTTATGAAACACAATATGGCGTATAAAAATAAATGAATGCGGTTTATTACACCTTGAGTTACAGCCTCCAATGATTTTCCAATACACGTATTCATGATTTATTATGTACTTTCAAGACTAGATAAGAAAATCAAGTTACTTCCGATTATTTTACTTATCTCAACTTACCTACCTTAGACTGAGGTCTCCTAGAAACGCCGAAGATAGTTACTTCCAAACATTGCTAATAACTGACCACGGACAATTGAATTCTAATTGTACTGTACGCGATAAGCCCTAGATCATTTAGGGAAAACCACAGCAAATACATTGTAAATTTTTGATAAACTGTTTATGAAGTCAAAAATCAATTATTCACGTAGGTACGCTTATGAACGTCACATCAGTTAAAAACGACTCTAAATTTACATTTACTACCAGTTCTCAAATCAAGGGCGTAGAACGAACGAAAAGAACTGGCAAGAAACTCGCCGCCACTCCTTTTATCGCCATATTATTAAGGTTCCCATGATTGTAATCGTAGATCTTTTTCGCGTAACGCAATGACTGTCTTTAAACATTTTACCGCCATAAAGAGGTAGCTACCAACCGAACGAAACAATTTATAACGATAAACAATAGAACATTAGAGGTATAAACTTTAAGCTACAGATCTACTTGTTTGGCAAAATACTTAGGTGCTGTAGAATTCTTTGTCAAGAATTCTACAGAAAGCGTAACCTGGATATACATCTCGGGGACAGGATTTTATTTTATTCTTTTACTTACGTTACTTCTATTGAACAGACTCTAATGTGTATAAAAAGTGAAATCCCGATTCCCCCCCTGGGGCATGGGGAAACACATTTCTGTGTCCATTTTACTGATCGGCTGTGCAACCAAGTAATTGATCAGACTTATCTGCCCTGCCCAACCGAAACAATTTATTGTGTCTCTGAAATTCTAGGACCTAGGACTTCTCGCGCTTAACACGTTTAACCATTTACGTACAAAGACTGTTTATATGTGTATACAATATAAGAAAAAGACACACAATTCGAAGAATGATTAACACAAGAAGGATGTCCACTGTTCTTAAATATAACTTCAGAGCAATCAAAGAAGTTTATTGAGAGACACGTAATACTCATCTATGCATCATTTGCTATCAGCTCGGGTTATCAAGATGATTATTATTACAATTTATCATATAATAATCAAAATAATAATGATTAAACATTTTTAATCAACATTTTTTTCTGATAGAGGATGACAGGCATGGCGTTAACGTGGTACTTGCTAGTACAATATAACATATGAACAATGCGCTGTCGATCTATTGTAGCTTTGGATATTCGGAAATCTACCAACTACAACCAAAACGCGATTTATCTTCACGGCTTTTTTTCTATGGACGATGTTTTGTGATGATGTGTGTTTCGGACGGAATTTCGATATTGCAACCAACAAAAAAAAATTACAAATTTATTAGAAACATGTTAGTGCGGATCGAACGCCCGACCCGTTGATTATTTGCTATAATTAATTTATTAGCATACTAATTTCTATGTAAACATAAATCGCAAATGAAAAAGTAAATACGGGGTCACTTTTACACATTGATTTCACTGACATCTGTCGGTAAAATATAGAACTATTAACGCCTGTGACAAAATAAGAGCAAATATTTCAGAAACCAAATTGGAATCCTAAATTCAAGACGTTTCTACTCATTCAATTAACGTAACTGATTTTATTTCACGTTTCAATATTCTGCTAGAGTAGATGGTTATTATTATATATTTTCTAAGCACGCCATCTTTAGTATATTTTTATTAGTACGCGCGTAAACAGCTGTTTTCGTTATTGATTTAAAAGCCTGCACCAAGTTCACGGCACTAGCCATCCCAAATATTTAGTTACTTGGAATTGAAAACAACAAATAATTTCGTTGGTACATGTATCTGTGGACGATGTGTTCTTTGAGTGAATAGAAAATTATGGAGCATTCATTTCGTAATGGACTCCATCGTCGTCATTTCTTGAGTGCACACTTAGATGAACCCCTAGATACAATTGGCTTGGTATCACCTATTAATAGATTCGCTGTGTTACAAGGAAACTTCAGTAATAATGATGAGGATGCATCTAAGTAAGTAATGCAATAAAATACAAGAAATCCAAGAGTGCTCAAGCACACAACTTGTTACTTAATTTTTAAAACATTATATAAACGGCAAGCGACTAATCACCAAGTGGAGAAGTAAATAATAAGCATATTGAGAGAAAAAAATATGGAAGTAATGATTCTGACCTTTTTAATTTTATATTTGCATTTGCATATCTGTAAGCTAGTTGTAGAAATATTTACTATACATACAGCCGACTAGAACTATTATTTTTATAGTAGGCCTGTATGATGTTACAATTTTAATGATTTAATTTTATCCTTACAATAATACTGCATAAGGAGGAAACATCTTAAACTTTTCCCAAGTTGAATTAATAAACTGGATTTTGTAAAAAAAAAGATTAAAATTAATAATTTGTTGATTGTATATGTAATGGTAATGTAAAATATTGTATAGGTTTCTATATATTGTAAAGTGTATTTATAGCGAGAGTTAATTTTGAATACAAAATATTTGTATTTTTTTAAGTAAATTGAAAAAAAATTTAAAGCAAAACTCATGACATGCACAAGCGTAGTTGATACATTCAAAGATAGGTGGCGCTAATCTCAACGTTTTGTTACAGATCTATAAAATTGAAGACTAAACTTATCATCGGTGGCTTGGTCATCGTCGTAATAATAGCAGCATTAGGCGGCTACTTCATCGGAAGATCCGATTATAAGAAATGGAAATTCACCGAACCCCCAGACCCAGTGGAACCTCTTCCACCCTCACCCTCATGGCTTCATACCTTCAAGCGAGCAGCTGTTTGCACAGATGCACCCCATTGTTCGGATATCGGAAGGTTAGTTAACATGTTATATGTAAGGCTGCTAGAAGCACAGTTAACATTTTTAGACAATAAAAATATAAATAAGTCAAGTCATAAGATTTCAGTTAGGCTACTCTGCCTCTAGCGGCTCTATATATAAGTTCAAATTGTGGATTTTTGTTAGTTTTGCTACCTCTACCTCATGCTTGTGATAAAAGAAACTAAACAGATACGTGACAAAGCTAAAAGCGGATCCATTTAATCACTTTTAAAAAATAAATTGATCGTAGGTTAAAATTCAAGGCTAACGTATCAACACTAAAATAACAGCAAGGAGTTGATATAAAATTAAAGGTAATAGGCTAAACACGAAAATCGTTTTTTGCATTTTATTTCTACTTGCCACCAGATGTCGCTTAAATTAATAATAATTTTTAGAGTTTTTAATGTTGATATTAATGAAATATGTATATATATTAATTACTAATTACGCGCATTTACACAATAATAATATAAATGATGTATATTCTCTAATATTAGAATACATGATGTGAATAAATGTTTTTTGTGACTCATGAAATATGTATGTAGACTATAAATTATTATTTGATAAAAAGTTGATAAACCTTATGATTAATTAAATGGTAGACACAGACTATAAAGCCTGTTGCTTAATTCTAAATCAGAAACCTTTAATTTTAATCACAATAGGTACACAATAAACCAAAATTGCCATTTAAAGCCTTATCAGCTATATTTATGTAACATTGCCAGTTGCAAGATGACCCCCTGATTTTCAGATAACGATAAATATCTCAAACAGTTCACTCATAACCAAACTTATCAAGTAATATTGGCAAATAATTCCATAAATAGTACTCCTCACTTCCCCACAAGATTAAGATATATATATAATTGAAGTTTAGACAAAATATTACAAATTTACGATTTAAGATCGATTATTGATTATGAGTAAATTAAAATAGTCTTACAGCATAGATCGTTGTAGAAACAGACAATCTATATCAGATTATTGCGTTTGTGATGAAAAGGTAAATTAAAAGAATACTGCGGTATCATTACCCGGCTTACAAGACCCACACATCTATAATCGCATTATCTATGTTTGCGTGCGGTAAATAAGCGCGGGCAACACCGACCAATCGCGTTCGAGAATTATCCACGCGCATGCGGTCAGCGACGTGTCTAGAGCACCTTATAAAAGCAACACACGGGCCGCGGAGTCAGACATTTTGTGAAGCAAAATCGACTGTGATACTGTCAGCACTTAACTGTAAAAAACAAATTGAAAATATGTCGGAAGCATTCTTCGATGAGTACGACTATTACAACTTCGACCACGACAAACACATCTTCTCGGGACACAGCGGCAAACAAAGGACAAAGAAAGAGGTGAGCGAGCACACGAACCACTTCGACCCGTCCGGCCATTCCAGAAAGATCGTTACCAAACTCATTAACACGGAGAATAATAAGAAGGCAGCTAATAAGCATTAATTAATGGCGATAAACTGATTTATGGACCATGGCGTGGAAAAGGAATACTGGATTGCCGAGCGAAAGGAGTTATACGTCACTGGGATCAGTGGGACACGATCGGAGGGATATTATGCTTTCTCAGTACATTTATTTTGCATATTATAATGCAACAGTAAGATGGCCGCCCTGTTGCGCTGGACATAACACCGTTCCAAAAACTGATCTCTAAAGAGCTTGTTGTAGAGCTCGAAATTGCTGTGTTAAGTTTATTTAATAGTTGTTTCGATTTAAAACTAAGTAAAATAAACATTTAAATGTATTTCTGTTGTGTTATTGCCCCGATGTTTTGTTTGGTACGTCACTCGGACGAGGTTGGCGCTCAGCCGATCGAGACGTTAGCTGTTTACATACAAAAACAACCTTGAAAAATATAGTCGATACGACCTCGCTTAATTTATCCGTATTTATTGCGACGTTTTAAATCGTCGATACATTTTCTATACCTTCTGTTGATAAGCTTGTTTTGTCTCGATATTTAAGACTCATTAAAATTTAATATTTTGTAATTCAATGTTTGACGTACCTAATGTCCGTTCTAATTACAAATAAGTAAGTTATAGAGACTTAGCAGTAAGTAAACCTAAAAACTTGCCTTTTACCTAGTTCGCTAAGTGTTTATTTTTTACACGAAATACATGTGCAAATGTTAGTCTTATATTTGTACACTTATAATTCCTAATGAGAAAATCTATCTAGTAAGAAAAATGGAAGGTATTTAATACATTACGGAAGTACCCTCTATTTTACGTAAATCTGGGTTCTACTTAATATGAAAGAATAAACTATAACGACTTAAGAAGTATATATTTGTAGTAAATACAAGTAACAAGCCTAGTTACTCTACTGGGATTACACATATAGATACCCAATAAGTTTTAAACTGCGTATATTTCTAGAAAAATAAAAATTGACTTTTTAGATTAGCAATTAATTCAATGGAAAAAAAGGTTCTGTATTGTTCCCTGTTGGCATTGGGCTGAAATAAAATTATATCAAAATCAGTCAAGCCGACTAGGCACGAAATAAGAAAAGAGAACCTTATTTCAGGTGAATAAAAGTAAATATTCATCAAAATTCCCTGTGAGACTATTAGAGATATATATTTCTGTGGCTGTTGCCGATTACAATTACCGGCATGTCGGTGATTAACGCAAACTCAACAGAATGAATTGTTTTCTAAGAATTCGAACCCAGGCTTGCACTTCACACAATTCTACGCTACGTGTTTTACTATTGAGCAGGTGGTCAAATCAGAAGAAAGAAATAAATCTATTTCAGTAACATTTAATTACAAACAGATCTGTTTTTAATTTGTTTTAAACTATACATTTTTCACGTTATTTACTTTTTATTACTGTACCAATTAAATACTGTCTAGCTTACGCGAGTAGTATAAATTTAAATAAAACACTTTTAACGGTTTTAAACACGAAATGTAGAAGTTTAACTTATTTACAAATTATTTTAACTACGGCTCGACGTCTTGATGCTTTGCAGCAAACATAAGTAGTTACATAGGTATAACAATAAGTTCATTAATATTGTAAAAGGTTCTAAGCATTCTTCTCGAACTCAAAGAATGTAGGACAATAACTTGTGTGTATAAAACCATAATACTATTATAGGTCGTGTTTTATAACCACGTGAGGAAAACCATAGAAATGCAACACGTTTGGTTAATTATAGGTGCACGATTCTATTTTGCATGGTTCAGTAACTTTTACATTAAAACCTCTTTTGAGAAGCAAAGCTAAAGTAAAGCTTTATAATCTATGGTGATTTTATTGACTTTCAAGTACTATTACGCATTATTTTCATAATTACCTTCCTCGTATTTCTAGGAATATACTTACTAAAGAAAAAGTTAGCGAAATGTGTCGCTGTTTAAATTTGCGCTTAGAAGCACATATAGATACAATATATATAATATGTTAATTTAAGTATTATAGATTATGTCTACAATATACTAAGCTTTAGTTTTCAAAACATAAAGCATATTTGCATAACATAATAAATGCCAAATTACGTAATACTTTTTGCTTTACGGTTATTAATTGCGAAATATTTTGGTAACTAAAAATAAATAAATTACATAAGTCCGAATAAAGCAAAATATTGCAATAAGATAATTTGAGATAGAAGTGATTTGTTTGGTCCCATTTCTCGGTGCTGATTTTCAACCTGTCAATCAGGTTTAACGTTGCAAACCACAAAAAAGACTTGAAATAAATGAATTGAATGTTAGGTAGATGAATGGATTGAATCTTTGAAGACGTGTGTGTGAGACTGTAAATGTATAATTTATGGCACTGGCATGACTCAACCCCACGATAAACAACGTATCATTCTACAGTTCTACCAATTGATATACCTACTCTGTCAATTGTTTGTAAACCAAAAGAATTGTACGATTAAAATGTATCAATTTCTTCGTAAGTTCATTTTTATTGAAACATGTTAATTATTGAGAATATTATTCATAATTCTTCGTCAAAACAAAAACAATGTTATCGTTATCTTTGTTTTTATGTCGAAGCCGTGATAGTTTAACATAAATAGACGTATGCAGAGATATTATTACCAAGTAAATAAACACAGACATTGTATTGAATAATGATTATTTACTTAAAATACATTTTGTATATGCTAGGTAAATAACAACTTTGTGACAACCTAATTAAATTATTTCGAAAATCGTTCTAAGAATCTAATTGAATACAATAAATACGTAAAATAAAGGAAGAGATGACTTTATTTACTTTCCCACCATCCCGCTTGTAAATTATAAAGAAACTATTCACAAGACTTGCAGTTTCATAGAGACATTAAATAAAACAGCTTTTAACAGATTGAAATTAAACATTTTCGACTTTGGGATGCAGTCGTAGTCACGGGGAAACGTCGTGCCGTAGTTCTAATAATTTTCAAATAAGTTTAACTAATGTATACCGCGTTTTAAACCGTTAAAGTGTTTTATTTGAATGTGTACTACTCGCGTAAACTACAGACAGCTTTTAACAGGTTTAAACAAAAAGATATAATTTAATTACTTCGAAAGTAGTTTTTCTTAAATGTACCGACTCACTTAGGTATCACTGTTAAGGAACCATTTTATTATATCCGATCTAGTTTTTCTAGTTTGTACTGAAATAAAATAATTTATTCGATTTCTCTTAGATTTAATAGCGTTTACTACCAAGGCGTAGAAGCTTATAGATTTCTCTCACAGACCATATAAATAATAAATATCCTTACAGATAATAATAATAATCTATAGGTTTCTTACACAGACTTCACAGATAATAAATTTCGGCACAGATAACTCATAACAATACTATCTTCTACAGGTATATCCTCTCAATAAACGGCTCAGCAGTGGACGCAACTATAGCAGCGATGTTTTGCAACGGTCTTCTGAACCAGCAGAGTATGGGTCTGGGCGGTGGCTTCTTTATGACCGTGTATATTAAGGAAGAGGAGAAAGTATATTCCGTCATCGCTAGGGAGACGGCACCAGCAGCTGCAACCGAAGATATGTTCCATGGGAACCCAGATAAAGCTAGAAGAGGTGAGTTTGTAATGGATCTTTAGATGTTCAGACAACTATCATTAATGTTCGAGAACTTGATGGCACTAGATATTTAAACAAAAAATTAAACGACTCGCGCAGGACTTGAACCGGGATGCACAGCGTTGCCAATTGAGCTACCGTGTCTTACACGTCATGATCAAATTTCTGCAATCTATTGATACATGCACGTCTCGCGCAATGCAGCTTCAGTGTCAACCTTAGCACTCGTCTGTCTTATGCTTTGCAGCTTAAAAAAAATTTTAACTGACACTAATGTTAATTTACATCTTTTAATATGATCGAAATGCATTATACCTACAAGATTGTAGATTAAAATCGATAATTGACAATTAGCTTGTCGTATTTTTTTTATTAAATTCTTACTGAGTGCCTAATAGTGTAAGCGTTTTTAAGGTTTATTTAATTTTAAAATAATTGTGGAATATAAAAATCTTAATGCATTAAATACCGTATAGCTTTTTTATTTAGAAAGGAGGTAGCTATTTCTAATTTGAGAACTTATTAGTTCCTAAACAGAAAGCAAACCGAGATAATGGAAAACTAAATACTAGAACTTGCTTGTAAATTATTATGTCTATTTATGTTGCTACGCGGGAACGAGGCCAAAAGATTATCAAAATAGAAATACGGTTTCGAAGTAACATACTTATAATACTAGTACAGTACTTATTAGTCTGTGGCACACATACCTGCAAGACTATTTTTATTCTGTCATCGATTGACAGATAATAAATAATTAGATCACGTGACGTTTTCACGTTTTTATCCATGGTCAACCAGTGTGGTTATTTCTAACTACTATTCGTACAACAAAGGGATTTATAAGAATTATTAATATTGAGAATGCTGTCAATCGTTTAACTAAAACAGTTCAAATATTTATTAAATTTGATTGAACCAAACAATCGGTTGCTTAGAAACGATACTCTATTTTATTCTTATTTTCTGTAAATTCCTTTGAGTTTAGATTCTACATACAGATAGATACCGAATCTTAAAATAACACACTTGTAACGGTTTAAAACGCGAAATATATTTATTAACTTATGATATATATTAAGTAGTGTACGTGACTTTGACATTAGGAACGGTCGGGTTGAATTAAATTTAATTAAAAGTAAGTTAACGATAGAATGTCGCGTTTCAAACCGTTAAACGTGTTTTTTTAATGTGTACTAGAGTAAACTACAGACAATACATAGATATGTTAATATTTTTTTTTAAACATGCGTACGAATTCAAGTAACTTTGTAGTTACATATACATACAATGTTTCACAGATTTTAATTACTAAACACACTTCCGAACTGCAATTTTCAGCAGTAATTGTTATCGTTTTTATCGAAACAACAATCTATGTAGGCCACGACACTGATGAACGACGATTATTTTATTGTCATGAACAATTGTATAAATAAATAGTAATTATCGGGCGGCCATATTTTATAAACAATAGAAAAATGCATGGAACAATACTCTTTCTGGTAATAAAGGCCAACGACCGTGATCGAGGCTACTCGTGTTTCAATAATTTTATCCGTTAAATATTATTGTTACCTTCAATTATTATACACTGTTAGGTAGGTATAATTACGGATTTATAAAAATACATGGTGCTATAATATTATTTTTATTAATTTAATATTGCACATATTAATATAATTAAAAATCTATTTGGATTGAAAATATTTTGACTACCCGGCCAGGACTTGAACCGACATACAAAGCGTTCCATTCCGTGGCTAAGTTCAAGTCTATGTTATATAATAAAAAAAATCTATAGATTGTGTTGTATAGTAATTTTATATAGGTATACCTTAGCGAGACAAGAACTGGTTTTATCTGATTTCACTTAGGTATACTTTTGAAAACATTAATATTTTTCACATGTTATTGAATGAAGGCACTATATAATTTAAAAATCGAAAATAAATAAAAATTTTTACTGGGCAGGTCTGCCCGAGTCGAAAAATTTTTTCAATTTATTATTTTAAGTACTTAATCTGTTGACAGTTGTTCGTGACCCGGACTGAAATTTCGATATTCCTACCATCCATTGTCTAATTATATCTATATTTCCAGACGAAGTCCAACATGTTTCACACAAAAATGTTGGACACGGTGGGCATCGAACCCACGACCCATTCATTATTTTGCTATACATTGCTATCTTTTAAACAAAACACTTTAACGGTTTAAAACGCGATATATTAGTTAAACTTATTTGAAATTGATTTTCAACTTCGGCCCGACGTTTCGGATGCTTTGCAGCAGCCGTGGTCACGGGGAGACTCCCCGTTAAAGTGTTTTATTTAAATGTGTACTACTCGCGTAAACTATAGACAGTATACATTGTTATCGTTATACCAATGAGCGCGTCTCCGATATACGGTCTGAAAGTGGCCTGCCGAGAATTAAACTGCCAGTATTTTAATTTCCCAAAGTGTATTGCATGCTATCATGCCACTATTAAGAAGAATAAAAGCATACATTTCACCCTACGTAAGACGTTTGCGAAATTTCTCCGAAGCTTTCTCTTCAATCTGGTTCAACATACGTTGTTCTTATCGACCCACGTCACTGATATTCAGTGATGATAATTATCAGCATTTAGATTGATATACCTGTCTATACGAAGATCCGACCGCCTCCCTCGTTCAGTGCTCAAACATAGACTAGTATTGCGTTAAACATGAGACGCCCTGGTTTCATATCCCGGGTATATGATAAATCTTTTCAGTTAGGTACTTCACAAAATGCTGACCAACTGCTTGCCTTCAAATAAAATGAATTAGTGAACCGGACACAGAAATGCATTAAGCCCCATTCCCCACATGGGGAAACTAAATTTCACGACTAGAACATTATCTACTTTCCTGTAGGTATTTAACAATCCTTACCAATATTATAAATGCGAGAGTAACTCTGTCTGTCTGTTACTCTTTCACGCCAAAAGTGGGAGTTAGAGTAGGAGTGATGTGAGGTGAGAGTGTTGCGGCAAAGTAGCACTTACAACATAGATTGGCTGCGGTAAACGCGCAATTAATAAACAGCCTAAATAATTAAAATTTTATACCCCAAGTCACTATTCCACGCGAACGAAGTCGCGGGCACAGCTAGTATAATCATAAAAGTGGGGGCAATTGCTTGATAATCGTTATAGTATAGTAGTATTCTGTATGTTTATCTACTGACTACTTAAGCTACAGATGCACCAAGAAATCCACTTATTTCAGGTCCTCTGTCACTCGGTGTCCCAGGGGAACTACGTGGAATGTGGGCAGCCCACCAGCGATGGGGCAATCTGCCTTGGAAGGCGCTTGTCAAGCCTACATTAGAATTCTGCAAATACGGATACACAATATCCAAACCCCTGTACGACGGGTTTGAAGTCGCCCCATACATCCAACATGATCGACATCTGAGGTGAGCAGACGTTTGCGCAAATAAATTATCCGGTTTTGAGAAACAAAGAGAAAATGAATGTTGCCATAGACTAGCCAATTAATTTTTTAACATAGGCCGAGTATTATTTATAGGATTAGTTTTAAATAATTAAGTCTGTGATTCAAGAAATAGATTTCGAATCCGTAATAAATCGTTTCGCTCACAGTAGATACAAAAGCCAGAATTGTTCGAATCACTGACCTGCAAATAAAATTTATAATTGAAGGAGACACAGAGATGCGGCTGGTCTTTGTGCATTTGGGAACTAAGGTGTTTAAGTGGATATAACTTAGTTAATAAAATCAATAAAATTTATTATTATAAATGAGCGAACAAGCAGAAAAATTAAAAGTTGAATATTAAAAACTTTTTTCCGCTATATCGTTGACTGATTTTATTTTGTTTATATCCTTATATAGTTTAAAAACTTTAATATTTTACACGTGTTATACACATTGCATAATATACATTAAAAATAAAATTTGAAATTAATTTTTGACTCCGGCGGGAATTGAACCGGCAACCACAGCGTTACGTGTTGTTCTAACGAGCTAGCGTATTCTACACGTTTAAATTTTTCAACATTTAATACATGCACCTCTTAACATTTATGTATTATCCTTATATACTTAGGTCAAGGGATTAGTTACTATTCATTCCTCATGTAGTGTTATTTTTCTTTTTAAATATCTAAATAAATAGATTTTCATTTTTTATAAAGCTATCACATGGACACACGTGTGTAAAATAATAATATTTTAAACGTTGCTGTCTATATATTTGAATAAAATGGGTAAAAACTGGTTTAATTCCTTACCTAGCTAAAGAGACAAAATTTCGTCTAATTTTATCTGACCTAAAAAGTACTATGTAACTAGTACTAACACTTAAATAATATGAAATGTCGGTATGTTTGTGTATAATACGTTTCTACCTTAATAACGTACCTGAATACAACACGAGCAATTCTTGTTTTTTCTAAGCTTGCTCGCTCTTGTCTAAAAAAATGTAATAAAAAATGAGATTATTAATACATCATTTTACATTTTTGGGCTCATTGAACTTTTCTACATAACATTTTTATTGCTTACTTCTAATTGCTCCTTAGTTCAAATTAGTTTTTGGGTTTACAAAAAATAAACCCAAGCTTACTATGATTATGACATAATTACTATGGTTGTTATAATAACAATTTTGTTGGTTTATTTAACCAAACTATTTTGTAGGACGGCGTATAAATTACGGACTGCTTCCACATATAAATATATCACGTTTCGTTGTGAACAATATAACGTGCTAAGCAGAACTTTGTTTTAATCGTTCTGATATTATAAAACAATGAAAATATCTCGCTTTGAACAAGTTCCTGAAGTCTACGTCGCGTACAAACGAAAAAAAAACTCGTTTAATTTACGCATCAGGAAACCGGTACAGGAAAACCTTGTCTCGTTTACTTGGTTAATAGTCGATCAAGCGAAAAGACAATGTTAGAGATATTGGATTCATTTTTGTGTCGTTAATATGTACTAAAGTATTAAATAAATAAGTTTATTTTTTTGATAGGATCGTTGGCCTAATGGTAGCAATGTATGTATGTAAATGTATGCTAATAATAAACGGGTCGTGGGTTTGAAACCCACCGTTTCAATATTTCTATTTTTTCTGAAATATTGTGAACTTTATCTATAAATCTGGATATTAAATGGGTGGTAAGAATATCGAAAACTGCGCCCGAGTCACGAACCACCGTCCACAAAAATAAATATAAAAAAAACACTAAGATAAATACACTTCAGTAGGTACCTGCAATTTTTTTTCTTGATTTATATACTATGTGTGCATACACTATTTTCAGAATAAGTAACTTTTCTAAGTTATATATATATATAGTATATACATACTTAACTTTTAAGCGACATACGGACACATTTCAGCTGATTATACTTCTGTGTCGTGCCGACCGATACTGTAATTTTCTGTTTCCCAGGATTCGAACCCAGGGCTTCTCGCGCTTACCAAAGTGCTTGGTAACATGTTTTATCTCTTGAGATATCGATAGTTTCCATTTATAGGATGTCTTAGAGTTGGACAAATTTGATCCATTAGTGAAAAGTGTAAAGTATATCATTTGGAGATAAGCACATTTTTTTAAATTCTTTAACGGTTTAAAACGCGATATTTTAGTTAAACTTATTTGGAAAGTATAAAGTAATAAGTTTAATTAGTATATCACGTTTTAAACCGTTAAAGTGTTTTATTTTAATGTGTACTACTCGCGTAAACTAAAGACAGTATACATTTTTTTTGTTCAGTTCCTCTTTGTATATCGGTATATATATTTAATTAATAAATTCTGTCTATCACAGGAAAACTTACGTGAACAAAGACAACAAGTTTCACAAACCTGGAACAGTGGTCAAACCCAGTGAAGCCTGGTGCAGTACCATGGAAAGGATAGCTGAGAAAGGAGGAGACGAATTGTATAACGGCAGCTTGGCTGTGGACTTCCTTGAAGACCTGCAAGAGATCGGCAGCATCATCACAGAAGAGGATCTGAAGAATTATCAGTGAGTCCTTTAAATGTATTAAATTTATATTTATTATCTCATCTTTATAATTTATAGCTGCTTCCTAGGACGTCTTTCTCGTTCCGTCGTTCTTGCGAGTATTATCTTAAAAAATAGACATATAGTGTTATGGACATCTTTATATATAATTTAAAGAGGAAGCATTCTTCATACGTAAATGGTTTTTTTCTCTTGAACTGATTTCGCAGCGCATTCAATGCCCATATCAACACAAAAATAATGTTTCAATTCGAACCAGCAGTTCCTGAGATTAGCGCGCTCAAACAAACTGACTCTTCAGCTTTATATATTAGTATATAAATAGTATAATAGATATATCTTCACTGTTTAAGTATGACTCATACAAGTATTATTTTATCGCAAAAGAATGTTAACTAAGCGTATGGAACTTATTCGTATGAAAAGCAAGTAGGTCACGCTCTTGCTTTGCTACAAAGAAAATAATACCTACATCTATGCTAATATATAAAACTGAAGGCATTGTTTGTTTGTTCAGGAACCACTTGTGGGAATTGAAATAATATTTTTTGTTGGTTAGAGCAATTATTGAAAAAGGCTTTAGACTATAAAACACCACGATTTGACCAATAGGAGCGAAGTTTGGTGGGGAATGTGGAAGGAACTGGGCAAAATATTCATCTTTAATTTATCATTCTTATACTTCTATTCTTATCTTATATTCTTATCATCTTTTATATTATGCGCTGGTTTTAAGATACCTAAAAATATGAAAGAAGGAATTATTTCTTCCTTTTTGATATAATGTATAAAAATGCCCGACAATATATTGCCATCTTTTAATATATTTCAGAAACTGCTGTGTCAAATATATACCTAAGTTACCAAAACAACTAAACTAAATATCTACATATGTATTGACGGATATCAGTAGAATTCCCGCCTGTACCATATTTTAATTTTTTCCTTATATGCGCTTGAGGGAAATTACTATTATTATTAAATACTGTCTATAGTTTACGCGAGTAGTACACATTATTAAACTTAGTTAACATATTAAACTTAGTTAAAAATCATTTTCAAATAAGTTTAACTAATATATCGCGTTTAAAACCGTTAAACTGTTTTATTTAAATTCTATTATTATTATCTGCCTAACAAATTAAGTTTTCGCTTTTATTACTACGTGAACGAGTAAAAGCTTGCTAACCCTTCTGCGATATTAATATAAACAAACTTATTCACAAATCGCAAGTAATCTTGAATAAATACCCGTACAAGCAATATTTCACAATTTTAATAATTATGAACAATAATTTACAGCTGAATAATCTAGATTAAACCATAATAAAAACAGTGCGACAGGTGACTCATTAAGTTATTGAATATATGAATGGTCTTCGTCATTTGTTTTCCTTTTAGAAGTTTCTAGAGAAGTTGTTATTAATATACATCATAAGAGAAAAATACTTAAGTTTGTGCAACGTATGATTTTCTAACTTTAAATAGCGGATCCAGGAGCAGGTTTAATACTACCAGTGAAGAGAACAATACAGTTCATTAATTTGTTTTCACGATTATGGGGTTATCTTATATACGTCATCAAGCATAAACACGTATTCAAGTCAATATGACAGATAATATTTGACGTACTTAATTAAAGCTAAAAAATATTGATTAGTTTGTTATTTATGCCAAGACATATAAGCCTGTTTCTTCCAATATATGTTTAAGAGATAACGAACACTTTTTTTCATACTACGTTACAATATTATATTATATAGTTCACAACTCCAAAATTATGCAATAAAATAAACAATTATTGCTTTTAACAATTTACTTTTTAAATATTAACGTGGTCTATATTCATGTGTCATATATAATTTAGCTTTAATTCGAAATTTTCGTTCTAATTCATTATTTAGGGAATGAAAACTTCAAGATCGTTTAATGAATGGCTATATTTTGAGAACTGTACTTTTCAGGCCGAAAATAGTCGAACCCCTCGCAGTCACACTTAGCCAGGGCGATGTCCTATACACGCCACCTCCTCCCAGCAGTGGGGCAATTCTGATTAACATCCTCAACACGCTTAGTGGATACAATTTTACAGCGGATAGCATCAACGGCACAGATAACACAGTTTTGACGTACCACAGAATAATAGAAGCTTTTAAGTATGCTTACGCATCGAGGACGAAATTGGGCGATTTGGACTTTTTGAATTTGGAAGAGGTAAGGATTAAAAAAATATATTGTCTATTCTCGGAATATTATAATCTGGTAAATCTGGCTGGAAAGTTTTTGTTGTGTTTTAAGAACAATTTAAACATAAATAATAACGATGACTTCAAATGTTTAAAAAAAATATTTATTATTATTCTAATTAATAAAGAGTTTAGCGTGATTGTTTATGTAATTAAACCGTGTTTAAAAACAAAGAGACTATGTACATTTTCCGTTAATTTTTGGTAATAAAGAATATAAATTTATTTTAGTAATGGTATAAAATTTGCCAATTGCCTCTGTTGCTAAATCTTTAAACGTGTTGCCTAGCGTTGCGTTAAGCGTGAGAGGTCATGGGTTCGAATTCGTTCGTCGAATATTTTTCTTTCGGTCGAGTAGGGCACGGAAGTCTGATCAACTATTTGCTTGTAAATAAAAAAACGATCTATGAATCGGCAACAGAAATGAATTCGCCCCATGCCCCACGAGGGAAAATAGGAATTCACACACATAAAATTTGCAATAATTTATTTTGAATTAGATTGTTAACCCTGACAGATCGCCCTTTTTATTATATTTTGCAGTTCATTGCAAATATAACATCTACTGAATATGGCGAAGAGATACGTCAGTTGATCAATGACACTGTTACAAGCAACAGCACGGCTTATTATGGAGTTGATGAGTACCAGAAGAATGATGCTGGCACTGCCCACGTCTCTGTCATTGGATACAATGGTGATGCCGTGTCTATGACCAGCTCAATTAACTATTTGTAAGTATCATATTGTGGGTTTCAATGTTATCAGTAAGACACGAAAAAATATTGTTCTTATATTGTTCTTTTTTTCGAATTCCGAGTAGATTTGCCTGTTTTTTTAATATCCTTTCCTTGAGATACAGAGGCTTGAAAATAATCCATTCAGATGCCAATTTTTATTTTACATATAAAACCTACTTATATGTATTTTTCTAACGGGCTTTTGGTAAGCAACAGACGCTATATAAAATCGTGATTTTCTCACAAGGTTTACATTGATATACACTAAAATCACTTTGAGATACTCAATTATAAGTATATTAATTTGGATCTAAGCTGACAACGACAATAGAAGATTCTCACTCATGCGTGATCGCTGAAAAGCGTTACAAATGTCGAATTAAATAATAATAATATAAAAAGGTCAAACAATTTCACTCTATAAAAGGTCATAATTATGATTCTCTATAGTTTAAAATCAGCCATATTTCTTGTGGTCTTTCGCCAAGTTAGAAAAAATACACTGCATTTCATTTACTGTTTATACTACCACTGATCTACAAACAACTACTATTACAATCTTTTTCAGCTACGGTGCAGGCTTTACAACGAACCGAACTGGTATCTTGATGAATAACGTGATGGACGATTTCTCATCACGGGGTATCATCAATTACTTCGGCATCAAGCCATCAAAAGCTAACTTCATCGCGCCTGGTAAACGACCTCTGTCGTCTATGAGCCCAAGTATAATTGTCGATCGAAGTGGGAATGCCAAGATGGTTATCGGTGCTTCTGGTGGTACGAAGATTACGACTGCTGTTGCCCTAGTAAGTATTTAAATGCAATGTTAATCGATTATAAATTGAAAAATTACGGCACAGTACTTGAATCGGCATCTACAGCGTTCGGTGTTGTTCCCTAACTAATTGAGCTACCGTGCTCTACATGTCATCGTCAAATTTTTCTGACCTAGTGATAATTGCATCAGAAGCCCTTATTCCGCTCTTTTCACATTTTCCTCTTTTTCTACGCTCTTATTAGTCGCAGTCTGATGGTTTGTCAAACCTTCTTCGATAAATAGTTGATCAAACACAAAAATGTTTTATCAATTTGAACTGATACGTCCGATTAGCGCCTTCAAACAGACTCTTATCCAATATTTCACTTGTTACAGGTCACAATTCGTAAATTGTGGTTCGAACAATCGATCAAGGAAGCGGTTGACGCACCTCGGTTCCATCATCAGATATTTCCAATGGCTATCCAGTATGAATACGGTCTTACTGAAGTAAGTGTAACCAAATCCTAATCCATATACCAAAATTATTATTAATTCTTTTGCAATGGAAATAAATCCTAATATAATTTGTTTAACTCTTCTTTTATGACATAAACATTTTGAAGTTATAATTAACAGCCTACAGTTTATTGATAGTCTCCTTATTTACGCGTACCTACGTACATTACATACGTAGGTAAGTAAATATAAGTATAGTATTTTTTTCTAATTTGGCGAAGGACCAAACAAATATGGCCGATTTTGAACCACAGAGAACTGTGGCAACGACTATACTCTATATATCTCTATGGTCTATGGTCTTTTGCCAAGATAGATAACACTTTACGTACCTATCATTTGTTATGTTACCTATGTTAATAATTTTCCACAGAATGTGGTAGACGGCTTGAGACGGAAGGGACACGGACTTGAGAGGTATCGGGACAGAGGTTCGATTGTGTGCGCCCTTTACAGGAACAAGACAGCCATTTATGCCAACGCCGATTTCAGAAAAGGCGGTGACGTCGCTGGCATGGATTAGCCTTAAATGTTTTGTCCATAAACGCTGCATTTCTTATTTATTTAGGTAGAAACAATTTCATCTCAATACACAACTGGTTGCTATGGTTACCGCCATTGGAGAATTTAATTTAAATAGCGTTTGTTTAAAATACGTGTCATCTAATCTATACATTGAACCTAGTATATACTAATATTACCTCAGTGCTTATATTTATAATTATTACAAGTTAAGGCACTAAATACTTAGTTAAAGATAAACAGATTATTATATTTTTTTAATTCTTCAAATTTCATTCAATTAACTTCTTAGCTACTTAACGAGTTTTATTAAACAAGTTTTTATGTAAAAAAGGTTTATTTTTAAATTTAAAATTATATTTGCTTTGCGTTATAATACAAAATTACTATTTTACATTCCCCAGTGTGTGTGTTGTTAAGAACTGTTAACTGATTTTCGAATTTAATATCTAATTAATTAAGTTTTATGTATTGCCACAGAATTACAAGAGTATATCAAAGTGTTGATTATAATCTCATTGTTATGAGTCATTAGTTATTGATGCATATTATAAATTAAACTTCCTGTTGCGGTGCTTATATTTTTACTCCCAATATCAAATTGTTATTACCAAAGTTTAAAACATTTTTCATACTAGAATTTTAAAGTCAGCTGAGATGGTTGTAGATAAGGAAAAAACAGCGAATTGCTAAATTAAATTTTAAATGATCTTGGAAGTTGTATCTGGCGAATTGTTGTGAAAAAATATTTTCTTAATAGGTGTAAGCTAATTCGATGACAGTATTATTTCTGTTACGTATCCCAAGTATTATTGAGGTATAGAATACCAATATATTGTGTCAAGTTACATATAATTTAATGTAATATATATAAGAATAAAGTTAATTTTATAATACCGTGTTAATTGTTATTTAATGTGCCCAGAACTCCAAAAAAACAAAACAGTAGTGATGCATCGGATATCCGGTTACTTTTCGGCCTATCCGGCCCTTATTTTGCTATCCGGCCGAATACCGGATAGTGCTTCTGTTTGGTATTTAACTTTGAAAAAGGTTAGTATGTATACTACTATAATTTGTTGTTGTTTTCATCTTACAAGAGAACGACAACAAATTATCATTATTTGTTTACTACTATTAACATACTATTTAAACTTATCAAAAAGCCTCATTTGACGTATTTCAGAAATCCTATGATCAGAATACATACCTATAGCGTATTGTATGTTAATTTTTAATCAAGTAAAATAAGTGTTACCAAATAAATAAAAAGAAAAACAATACATAACAGCTTGAATCCTACACGACGCGCCCGCCGACGAACTAAAAGGTACATAGGTATCGTTTGGCCAAACAACCATCGTCTTCCAACATTAAGAACTTTAATTAAATAAATAATAATTAAAATTGGTAAACTACTCCCCACAAGATGGCGCTCTTCAACAAACCTAAAATCAGCTGTATTATATCCGTTTTGACGTTGACACTTGACTGATGTAATTTATTCATAACATTATCGATCTATTAAGTATTAGGGTACATTTTTAGGTTATGTGCCCAAAATTAAAATGTATAAATAATGGTTGTTATAATACGATTATTTACATCGTGTTATTTAAATATCATTTCTTATTGGCAATTCTAGAAATATTAAAATGGCCAAATCAGTAAAAGAATTCGGTAAAGCATGGTGGACCGAGGTGTATAATCGTATTATTGGAGCTGCTGTTTTTATTGACGACTACAGTTCTGAATGTTTGCACTGGGATGGAGGTCTATTCAACCTTCTAAATAATGGTGCTGTGGCTGTTAAAAGTCTATCACCATTCGAAGTAAGTAAAGCAACTTTTATTATACTCAGAATTGCTTAGTTCTAAAGAACTTAACAATTTTGTACCTTACAAGTTGTTGTACCTTGAGAAACAGATATAAATTTATACAACCCACTATATGTAAATAGAGTTTTGATTATTACCTTAAAAGTATCCAAAACAGTATAACAGTTAATACAGACAAAAACACAAATGTTTTAACTTATCTTCAGTTTCAGTTTACTTTGTATATTTATTGACTAAACCAAACTTCTAACTCTTAAGTACAAAGTAATAGCTTCAGTATAATTTCTAAGTGTATCTGAATTAAACAAACCCATATCTCACTTAAAAATATATCTTCCAGATTTGTGACAAAAACCATCATAAGGCTGTATTCATAACTCAAACTACACACACACAGCTACAAACCATAAAAGAGATAATAAGTAAGAGTGAGTTGATGCACTGCATCCTAATATCATGTGCCAGTTTAGATGTTGTTTACTTGGAATTGAACAAAGATAAGGATGTTTTGGATGTGGTTTCATCTGGGAGGGCTCCAGCGGAAGCTACTAAGCAGCTGGAAGGAATGCTTTCTGATTGGATCGGTAAACAGGTATACTAATTATTAATTGTTTATTTTATGTTTAAAAGTTGATTATGTTGGCCACCACCTGCAGTTGCAATAAAACTAAATTTCTTATTAATTATTTTAATATAAAAAAAAACTACAACTATTTTACACTACGTACTTGTGTACGATGCATCAGTTCGACTATTACGATTATATACTGTCTAAAGTTTACAGGAGTAGTACAATTTCTGGACAGATATATTGAAATGTATTGTCAATAAAATCATTAAGTTAGGGCTGCATTTTTTTTTAAATTATGGTTTTTTACTCAGTTTTCCTGGTGCAGTACAGTAAACTTTCTGGATATTTAATGGATTAACTGCTAACAGATTAAAATTAGTAAAAATTTTGTAGATGCTTTCCTTAATATTACACTTACAAGCAAACACCTTGATATTTTTGGATTATTAATATCATTCTCTGTTTTAGCCAAATGCTGTAGAAGTTGTGCACATACCGATATTCACCATATCTCCAACAAATGTTATTTTCATAACTCCACCGTACCACAATATAAATCTGAAGTTTAATAACAAACTGTTACCAGAGACAACATCAATAGATCTATACTCTTTGACTAATGATGAAAGATCAATGTTAAGGAGGTTGGCTGGAAGCCTGAATTCCATGTTTGATTCCATGAATTATAAGGAAGATGTTTACTATATGGGGCATTATAGTTCACTGCTTGGTGGAGTTTTGGAGAATTCTCCAGTTTGTACAGCGAGAAGAAAGGTAGGTTGTAAAATATTGCTTTTATTAATTATTATAATATTATAATTATTATGCACCTACACACTGTCTATAGTTTACGCGAGTATTATACATTTAAATAAAATACTTCCTGGAGGACCACGGCTGCTGCAAAGCATCCGAAACATCGGGCCGTATTTAAAAATCATTTTCAATAAGTTTAACTAATATGTCGCGTTTTAAACCGTTAAAGTGTTTTATTTAACCTACGTATTAACTAAACTACCAACTATACTAATATTATAAAGATGAAGACTTTCATTGTTTGAATGCGCTAATCTAAAGAACTACTGTTTCGAAACGAAAAATACTTCTGCATTGGAGTTTGAGTATTTACAACATCAAATGGCTACATAAACATCACGCTCCGAACAATAGGAGAAACCATGGGAAGTGTGGAATAAACGGGGAAAATGACTCATCTTTAAGAGTTTCCGTGGTGTGCGCTGCGAAAACAGTTTAAGATACCAAAATTATATGTATTGAAGAGTGATTCCTTTTTAAATGATCTAAAAAATATAAATATTTTTATCTTGATACATACAAACACACATTACATACAAATCATTCTTCTTTCAGAACTGCTCGATAGCAGTGTCATTGATCATAGTGGATCGAACATTAGATCTATGTGGAGTAACAAGCCACTCAGCCGAGTCTGTACTGGACAAAATGATGGGTGTCCTACCCAAATTTCCTGGACAGTGCAACGAATTAGCTGTGAATATGTCGCCACTTTGCGCAGCAACGGTGTAAGTTTTAAAAATTAACTCTACTGTTTGAAAACTTTATAATTTTTCACATGTTATTACATGATGGCACTATATATATTAAAAATCGATTATACATTGTAGAAATTTACGACACGGGCAGGCCCGAACCGGCATCGGTAGCGGTATTTAATGTTATATAGCACACTAGTGCAAAAAGTAAATTAAATCTTTTAATTTACTTTTTGCACTAGTGTGCTATATAACAATAATATCAGAATATAAACGTGGTATTAGTGATTAAAGTGTAACAATTGATTACGTAACTTTTGAATAACTTATGAAGTATGCGTTTTTAATAAACCATTTAACGGTTTGACACGCGATATATTTAAGTTAACTTAATTCCGGTATATTTAAAAGCGTCTGAAAATAAAGCGTGGATAAAAGTATATTAAGGCATGAGGAAATATTTACACGTTCTCAGTAAAGTAAGATCGAAATGGCTTAAAGATACTGATAAATATTCCTTGAAAACCATTTATCTATCTGTGGTGCTTCAGCCCCTAGGGCCTTAGCCTGGTCAACTATAGAACTGGTCTCTAAAATATTCTATTTCTGAAGTCTCATACAATCTAAAATAATTCTTATGAAGGGGCTTCCCTCTCAAATCAGTAATATCAATTTAAAAATGTTTTTTCAGCTACAATCATCCTGATGATATCCAACTGAGTCCTGGATGTCTCTTCCATGGTAACGATGAGTCGTGCCTTCAGACCTACGACTATATGATCAATAAATCACAGAAGGAAGTGATGTTCGACCTTTATAATAAATTATCTAAAATCGATGTGCAAAAGTCACCAGGACCTAAGACATTACTGAAAGTCACTCCGCAGAGTGTGGAGAAGATTATTAATGCTTCTAAAGGTAAGTTTTAACTTTCTCTTAAAAATTATTAAGAATCATATATGTAGACAGCCTCTGTAGACAAATGGTCAAACGTATGGCCTAGCATTGCGTTATGCGGGAGAGGTCCTGGGGTCGAATCCCAGGGGAACGAACAAAAATTTTGTTCCGGTCGGGTTGGCCACAGAAATTTGCACGCCTGTTTAAAAGAACGGACACAGAAATGTGTTCGCCCCATGATGGGGAAACGGGATATCACACATCATATAATATGTGAATAATATTCTTGAATTTTTAAACCGGTTCTGGTTTCCTATTGTAAGGAATATTAGGAACAACTATCAAAGAATTACAAATAAGTAGCCACCTCATATTGTGGATCACCAATAATCAAATAACAAAGCTCATATTATGGTATTTCAGGTAATTATGACGTTATAACGAAGCATATAGGAATTCTACAACAAGCACTTGGCGTGGTGCAAATGTTGAAGTCTCCAAAAAGGGCTCAGATGGATTTGCTCATGAGCTTGGAGAAGCAGGTGCTGGAAAACCTTGCTGCCAGCAGGGAGTCTACGAGTGTTTTGCACCAAGTACGTTCTTATGTTACGTTTAAAAACTTTAATATTCAACCTCTTGCAATTTAAAAATAAAATTTTTTTGTACCATTGTCAATTAGTAAAGTACAAATGAATGTTTGTTATTCTCTCACACCGAAACTACTCGACAGATTATGGCGTTGACGTCTTAGTCTGTACCACACCATTCATTTTCTGTTTGACGTTGACAGAAGCTGTTTTGACGTATTATAATATTGTGTTGTAGACTCTGTCGATATAATCTATGGTTTTGTCTTTGTATGCTGATTTATATAAAACGCTTTAAGGGTTTAAAATGCGATTTATATACGTAAAACTTATTTGAAAATTATTTTAACTACGGCCTGTCGTTTCGGATGCTTTGTTGCAGCTGTGATCACAGGGAGGCACCGCCATTTTATTTAAATGCGGACTACTCGCGGAAAGTACAGAGAGTATTTCATGTATGCTCATTACATTTTCCTCTTTCTAGTTGGGACACCTTATCAAAACAAGAAAGGACCGCGGTATGTCCTTAGATAATCTACTTGCATTATTGGTTCACGTGTATTCCCTTGCTGGGAATGAAGTGGTATTTAGTTCACAACATGAGGAGCAGTTGCACCAGATTCTAACTGTTGCCATATTTGAAGACCACAAAAGTGTCTTTCGAGATGGACGCATGGTAACACCGGAGGAGTGTGAGACTATATCGAGGAATGCTTTAGAGCTCCTGAAGGAAGTCTCCCAAATGAGGAAACAGTTGCCAAGGTATAATATTATTTAAATAAATTATATACATATGTAATTTAATGTCAGAGTTATCTTTCTTTCAAATATTTATGTTGTTTGATTCAGGCAGAGAGCTTTCGTTTACTTTTCTTTTTTTTCGTTGAACACATTTTATACAATTATTACATTACTAGCTGCTCCCGCGACTTCGTCCGCCTGCAACAGTGACTTGTGATAGAATTTTTAATTATTTAGGCTGTTTATTAATCTATGTATGGGCGCATTTAAGGCAACCAATCTATGTTGTAAGTGCTAATTTGCAGCAACACTCTTACCTCACATCACTCCTACTCTAACTACCACTCTCATTCCTACAGTCACTCCCACTCCCACTCCCACGCCTATTCCCAAAAAGCCAAAGAAGAAAGTTTCACTGTTCTAGGTTCAAAAACCACGAATTTCCACTTTCATCTTGGCATTAAAAAATCTGTAAAATATCTGTGTACCAAACTTCATTTAGATCAGACAGAGTTACTTTCGCATTTATAATATTAGTATAGATTATATTGAGTTTTCTTTTTTTCTTGACATTCATATGTGTATTGTGTAATACAATTAATTTAGAAGAACAATATTTAATAGAATGACTCAATTTAATTTTCATTAATTTATTCTCTTTTAACTAAAATTATGTATAATATTGTTCCATGTGCATATCAATTATAATTTTATTCATAGGCAATACTGTGCTTTGTAAGTTAAATACATATGTCGAGTTTGTAAGTCCATTGCATTGTATAGAATTTATAGTACACCTAAGTAGTAATAAAAAGTTTATGAACCATATTTAAAGACCTATGACATAATGACATCTGGCTCAGCATGTGAACACAACAAATCATCCTTTCTGATTATAAACACTGACAATCAGCAGTGAGAAATTATTGATATCTTTAAAATGCTGTTTATCAGTGTCTACTGGAAATTTGATCGTTAACATTTTTCCTACACGACAACTGAAATATTATTTAGTATCTATATTTAGATATTTTTTTAGATACAATTCAGTGTTGAAGCCTTGCGAGAGCGGCATAGGCCACGAATATCGCGGAGTTCTGCAACAGCTGGTCGATGACTTGGTTAACACAGAGCGACCAGATATACCTGACCTGGTGCATAAGAATGAAGGGATCAAGGACTTGCTTAGGAGTGGTTTGAAGTATGTCATGATCTGGTATTTATAATATTGATCTATCTATGCCTCGGAAAGCGGTATCATGATATCGGTCGGTTATAGACCTCCACCCCAAATGCAGTGGGTCTAAGCTAATGCAATCTGATCGCTTATGCGATAAGAGACCTCGTCCAGCAGTGGGACATAATATGTTGAAAGTATATCTTAATGCGAATGAATAATAATTTATAATAAATTAACATTTAAAATAAACCCTTTAACGGTTTAAAACGCGATATATATTAGTTAAACTTATTTGAAAATAATTTTAACTAGTAGTAGTAGTCTCCCCGAGAACACGCCGTTGCAAAGCATCCGAAACGTCGGGCCGTAATTAAACTAAGTTTAATATGTATCGCGTTTTAAACTATTAGTGTTTTATTTAAATGTGGTAAATAATACCTAGTTCAAGACCAATCTGTTACTGTGGCTCTTAAAATAAAAAAAACAAATTCTATTTTTCACATTTCAAATTACATCATTACCTTTGTTTTAGCATACTAACAAGCAAGAAAAGCAAAATGAAACATCCAATGGACAATCAGACTGTAATAATATTCGTGATTGGAGGAATAACAGCCGATGAATGCAAACAGCTCCACCGTAGTGTCATCACCAGCGGTATTGATAACAACGTCCTGATCGGTTCCACCAAGTTTGTCACCCCGATTGAGGCTATGAGGGATGTGCTGATGTTATAGCAGGCGCAGGTTAATTCTGCCCCGGAGCGAGGGTGGCGGGTCTTCAAAAGGGGACAGAAGTGGTGAACTGGAACCGGAAAACAGGCAAGCATGGGGATTCACTTCATGGAAACGTGTATTGCAGCTATATAACATCTAAACATGATGCGTTGTTGGCCTATTTTGGCTTCAGATATTTGGAAATGTACAGACTGAAATCAAAATGAATTTCTCGACAATTAATACTGTCTATAGTTAACGCCAGTAGTACACATTTAAATAAAACACTTTAACGGTTTAATACGCGATATATTAGTTAAACTTATTTGAAAATTATTTTTAACTAATATATCGCGTTTTAAACCGTTAAAGTGTTTTATTTAAATTTCACGACATTTTCAACTTTAGACAGTGATCTGTGATCCGGATGTAATTTGGACATTACTACCACTTTAACATCCAAATATTCAGAGAATGTCCAACCGGTATAAAAAACACCTTTATTAGACGCAATTTTTGACAATTGACTACATATTTGACAATTTGCTGAAGTATATTATTTCAATATAGTGGATCAAGCCGGTCGCTTCAGTCAGGTGACAGTATATGCAAAGCTTACTATTTTAACCGTTGGAAATGTTTATAATAAGCATGGCTTTTCGAGAACGATTATTTAGGCACAACATACCATTAAATAAATTAAGAATTAAAAGAGTTGTTTAAGAGCTTCCCAAGCATGCTTACCTAACGAATTTGCACATAACCACATTGTTTTTTGTACCTATATGTATAACTGTAATGATAATTTAAAAATGTAATTTTAAGTTAGAGTAGTCACTCTTTTATTTCACTGATTAAGTATACATTTTATTGTATAAAAGTATAATGTATAAATGTTAAATTTATTTGAATGACAAGTAATTTTTACTGTTAATATTTTAAATTATAATATTATAGACTTGTTTATTTGTATATATTGTTTTTTGTCTTTATGTTATTTATGGTGTTTTAATGTTATTAGTAAGTATGATAAGCATGAGCAATGCAATTACAATGCAAAGAAGTAATAAATTATTTATGAGTAAGTGATGTTTTTTAAAGGCAAGATAATTATTCTTTTATTATGAATGTTAGTAATCTTAGCAATAGTATTTTAGTCTATTTCCACTAACACTCTTCGAAAAGTAATAATAATGATAAAAATGTAATTAAAGATATTCTGCTTATGTAACCTGCAGGTGCACAGCTAGGTAGACAAGGGTGGATTAAGAAACAATTGGGCCCTCATCCCCTCTTTCCACAATGCTTTAACTAATATTATCTTCCAAAATTATAATTAGGAACAGTTCAATTACAATCTTAAAAAGAAATGATTAGATTGAGGTCAGAGGCTCCCCCAACCACCAAACTCCACCACCTAGTCCTACAATAGCTATAATGCTGGTATCCTAGTGTGATTTTTTCCTACGTAGCTATGGCTGTGTGTTTCTTCCTACTTTTAATATACAAATAGAAACTGCAGTATAAAGAAGCTGTCATATTGTATAATAATAAGAACTGCTATTAATTAGTTATTTAAACGACGCAGACTAGAGACATATATATCTTATTAAATTGGCGTGTATTTCTTCTAATCACCTCCAAGCCTTAATAGTTTCTGGTAATCAACCGTCAGTCAACTACATATGTAATGCCCCGAAGAGCTAAACAAGATTTCCTTTTGGTAATATTACTCACACGGCCGTAAATGGCCATTTACTAAATTTAAGAATAATCATTTTACGTTGAGGAATTATTGTCTATTTAAATGAAACATTGTTTGTATTTAACTACCATTACTGTTACAATCAACTGGCAAACGACCGGTTGTACTGGAAGTCTATGGGGGAGGCCTATGTACAGCAATGGACACTGAAGGGCTGAATCGATCGACTGTTACAATAATCAAGACCATAATTCAGTTCCAGTTATATTTCATTCTAAAACAAAATCGGTAACAATTTAACACATACCACTTCACCAAACTCCAAGGCATTAGCAATGAAAACAAAAATTTCAATATACTTATAATAGTTTACTAATATACTGTTGGGCTAATTTTATTAAGTTGTTAATGTTCATCTTCATATCCAGATGGCAGGGCGTTGACATGGGGGTTGTGGAAGAGGGATTTCTGGCCATCACCCCATGGGAATCGCTGAAACAGTTTATTATATAAGTTGAAATAAAATATAAACAAAGAAGGAACTTTACTATTTCACAAATTTCTCAATACAGAGGGCATTGCATCGATAAATATTATATCATGAAAATACATAATCACAATAATTAATAATAAAGTATTGTACAATTAAAATTTATATTGAATAGTTATCCAAATATATGACAAGGAGTTGAATGTATAGAGGGACTTTATCCATTATTATAGGCAGAATGACCAAATAACATAAAATAAGGAAAATAAAAATGTGCAATTAAATAAGATGAAAATAAATTTGTACAACTATTTGTGTAAGAATGATTAGTAGATTAGCATTTTTACAATAAAATTGCATTTAGGCTAGTCTGTTTCTAGCAGCCTCATATATCATGCTATGCAAGTTACTAACAAGATGCAAAAGGGGATAGATATTTTCACCAACACCTTAGGAAAGCTGACAAATCCATCAGTTTCTGAGATATGAGAGATATATCTTTTCGTATTTTACTGTTACTAACTGTTGCAAAAGGATCAAGACTTAAGGAAATAAATATTTAGTTCTTAATTTGTAAGGCTTTATAAACCCTGAGTTTTATCTAAATTGATAATGTAATAAGATTTTGTTTTTCATATTTCATCAATATTTTAATGTACCTTAGTGCGAATACGCATGTATTCATATGCGACGAAGGGAGGGCGTTCGTGATGTTCCTCCTGGTGAGCGAGGTAGACGTTCAGCATTCCTAGGCCCACCGCTGGGAAGCCCACAAAGAAGGAGATACCCCTCCAGAACTTCCAACCACCTATTTAAAAATTACCATTTCTTAGATAAGAACACCTAGGTTAGCTAGTTACATAATTCGAGGCTGATAAACAAATGTATTTACCCCCATGGCCTCCAGCTGTCGCAGAGTGGGACGCAAGCCGCGCGTTATTCCTCACATATGAAACGGCAGCCCTTTGTAAATAGGTGGCCATATTTTTACAATTTAATTTCTAATGCAACCACGGACCAACACAGTTTTCTTTTTCCAAATTACTGTCAATGTTTGACAGAATTGTAGTAATATATTATTCCTTCAACTGTCACTGTCAAATTTTGACATCCTTTTGAAAATTCATATTCTGCGTGCGTCACAGAGACTGCAGAGATTTTGACGTTTATAGAAAAAAATACAAAATGTCGTATACTGGTAATACTTTTATTTATTAATTATATTAATAGATAGCACTAGTATTTTTACAATAAAACAATACGGGCAAAAATGAACTACAAATGGCAATAAATGAAAAATACTTATATCATAATATAATTTGTGCTACATAAAATTCACTTCACAGATCTATATTTTGATCGAATGTGGAAAACATGTTTGCCAAACACTTATCATCCGCAATTATTGAAGTCTGACTGTCGTCTTGATATTGCTGAAGTATAGATTTCGGTAAAATCTATAAAGAGAGAAAGAGAGAAAATAGTTTTAATGCTGGTGGTTTATACAAATAATTATTACAAAGTCTTATAGATTATAATGAATATAGTAGAATAAAGGAGTAGATTTTGACGTATTAATCTTTGTGTGTCGTTCATACCCAGGATTTTAGATTTGAATTCTACTTTTTTAAATGCATATTATGAATACATCTATTAAGATAACACATTATAACAGCACTAAATACATCTTTCAATGCAAGTTAACGGTTTTAAACGCGACATATTAAGCTTATTTCAAAATTATTTTGACAACGGCTCGACGTGTCGGATATATCGCCTACTACTACTACTACATACTATCTGGAATAGTGTACTTAATATATTAAAATAACATTAATTAATTATTTTACCCTCTTAGCCCTAACTTCGTCGAAGTTGAAGCCCATATAAAAAGCTGTCTGTTGCAGTTGCCTCAACGATTTTAGCCGATACTGTGGATTTGTCTCCAATAACTTCATAAGCAAGCCTCGAGCTCCTTTTGGAAAGTCGGTCTGTGGCAAAGTGCCGGGCGTTCTTCTTTCCTTCGTTCTATTGCTAGATTTGTTCTGAATACTAAAAAGAAGTATTAATTTAGGTTCGCCATAAGTACCTCGTACTCGATCTGCTCTCTTTATCAGTCTACCATTACGAAAAAAAAACAATGCGAGAAACAACGTGAGTTTGTTCACATAACGACTAAGTAATTTGTTTTCTCAAAAAGTAAGGTTGTTTTTGTTTTTTTTTATGATTTATGAAAGAAGGTTTCCGTGTTCAAAACTTATTTTAATTACCTACAATATATTTTGCTAGTCACAAGTAATACTTACTCGCAGCTATTATTTTGACTCGAAACTTCATTTTCAATGTCTTTGGAATGGACGGCTGGTTCAGGAAACTGAAAAGAGTACAATAAAATACAGCGGTATATCCAAATTCATTACAATATTTCTTATCGAAAGGTATTTATATAGTACTAGCTGTGTCAGCAACTTCGTCCGCGTAAAATAGAAATTTTGGGCATAAGAAATTGGCTTTTGCAAACCTCCTTTTCATTCAATTTCAAATTTAAGCTAATACCTACGACGTCGGACGCGTTCCGTCGTTCTTACAAGTTAATCCTAAAAATAGACTAGTGTCGCGGACTTTTTTAGATCATTTATAGAGGAATAATTATTTTGTACATATTTTTAGGTATCTTGGACCGTTTTTGCAGCAGACGCATCGGAAACCCACAGAGATATTAATAATTAATAATTTTCCCCGTTTTTTTTACATTTCCCGCAGTTTCCTCCCCTTCTATTAATCACCGTGCAATGTTTTATAGCCTATATAATGTTCCTCGATAAATGCTCAAACCAACGCAAAAATATTTTTTCAATTCAAACCAGTAGCTCCTGAGAATAGAGCGTTCAAACCTACAAACAAACAAGCTCTTCAGCTTTCTATATTAGTATAGATGTGTGTACATCATTATTTTATTATCAGTAAGTAAATATTTAGGCAAATTAGATTTAAAATGGCGGGTTTAGTGATACCAGTATAAACCTATATTTCAAATACAAAAAAAATGGTTACCGTTGTGTAGCCCGGTGAGAAAATGCTCAATCTTCGATATAACAGCAAAAACAGTCTCGACAGTAATGGAATATTACAGCATTAACATTCTCAAATTATAGGTACAAGAGCCGTGGGATAATTATATCAGTGGTACAGTTAACGTAAATACAACTTTAGTATTGCCAGTGGCAATAATCAATGAATTCACTAATTGGCGGGACTGTTAGGTTTTTATTTCCTATTTAATTATTGACTTTGACAATTCTATCCGTTATTTAAGTGGCCTCCTAAAAAAAGGATACGAAAAGGTGGAATATTTTAATTCTAAAGTAGAATGTTATCTATCGAATATCCTGAGGAAATTGTGATTTTTAGGGATGACGTCTTTGAAAAATTGTTATCGATGTTTTTCCATTACGATTAGTATATGGTATCTTTACGAGGTATTGACTCAAGTCTATAGGCCACGTGTCCCGACAGTATTAAAAGCTAAATTTCAAAAAGGTTAGCAGTAAACAGCAGTATTATTTTAGTAGTGTATTATTTTTTACTTAAACACCTACATGGTTTTTATTTCATTTCGATAATGTATTAACCCCTCCCTAAACTAATTTAGCACACTAGGTGGCGTTAAAAATCGTCGTACGCTCTTTGCATTATGAGATCGTATGGAGATGCTCGGCGTCGTCTGCGCAGTTTTTTATCAAAGAAAAAAAGAGCGCCCCGACCATCTAAAAATAGTTAGCCTGCCCCTTAATTGCACACTTGGAATTTGCAGCACGTTTAACGATTGTGAGTTCATCGAGATAAATGCATCTAAGGTACTTCGCAGACCAGAGATGGGGACTTTCTTTTAGAAGGATCAGGAAATGTTTGTGTTCGAATTTTTATAATTTGTGTTAGTTCGGATTAATATTATAATTAACTGTGTTAGTATTCGTCTCCTACATCTGCGTTTCTTTATCGAATTTTGTTGCGTCAAATATCGTGAACGAACCGAGAATTCTACAGCATGAATATTGTTATGTTTAATTAATAAAAAAATGTGTGAACCCCAGGACAAATTTTCGAGCAAAATAATGAAAAATGTTAATTTACGTACAACACAAGAGTCCTGATAATGATTTTGTATTACACTACATATATTTTATGTGTTGAAAGAAAAGAAAAAGAAGAAAACCCAGTCAACGGTAACCTTAAATGAGCAGATAGCAGAATTGTGTTAGAGTGTTATACTTTAAACACATCCGCTAATATACAAAAGGCGAAATCAGATCACGTTTTCCCATCACCGAGCTATAGCATGCTAAAATTAATTTTAAAAGAATAACATTGAATTTTACGAGAATATCAAGTGGAATCGGTCAGATGATCAGCAGGTGTACAGAGTTACATATAAGGACCGCGACACACGAGAAACTGTTTCATATAAATGAAGTCTTTTTAACGAGTCATGGGGCAAAATAAAGCTTTGAATAAAGCCCGATTGGCTGACCGATTTTATTCAAAGGCAAGTTAAGGAACCAGATCTATATCATCCAATTCACAAATTGCCCGATTGAAAATATTGTTTCCGCTAGTATTCAAGACAGGAACTCTTGCACTAGTAACTAGGCAAGAGATCTAACCTAAAAAAATAATGCACGGCCATGCTGTTTTGTCTATCTTAGGCACGATTCTGCCATGTATGTAGTGTGTTTTAAAATTGTCCGGATTTTTTAAATTCCTACAACTAAGTTGCGGGAAAGAGCTAGTGAACACATCATTGTTATTGAATAAAATTAAATATTTAATTAAAACTTAAATTTTAGTGTGTATAAAATCCTTATATCCAGCGACACCTTTCGCATAAACAAAACTTTTTTGCACTACATCAGCTCATTAGTAATTTTTTAGAGCTTTGTGAAGAATAAAAAAGCGTTATTATACTTTTTTTTTGTATAAAGTATTCATTGCGTTATTTATTTATACTTTCTTATTCCTCTGTATTATGATCCCGTTAGAAGTGGTTCGACTGGTTCTATTACTATAATTAGATTTCTAATCTTAGAACATAATTATCATGGAAAAACTAGATCTTCACCCTGCCCCATCATAATACGCTATTTCCATAAATACATGGAGTTAAAATAAACTTGGCGGGAAACTAATGAGAGCTATAACGCTGTCAGGGAAAATATAAACTACAATCTATAATCTATGGTCTCGCTACCATGCCATCGAATCGAGTAAAAAAAATATGTCATGTAAATAAAAATTTACCGATTTTGGAATTCGAGTGTCAACATGTATCTTGTGGTATGACGTACTTCTAAAGATGGCGTTACGTACAGAAATATATATATGCTTTTGAAATACATGAAACGGTTTTTATTATATATTACGATATAAATACATCAAAGGAAAGTAGATATTATTTAAGATACATCGGAGACCTTAAAACTTCATATAGGTCTCAGACAAGTCTGGAATCCTGTTTGTACTCGGCGTATAAAACTAATAGGACATTACAGAATGGGTTATGATGGTCAATGATAGGGCAAAAGCTGAATTATTGCGAGTCCTGTCGTAATCGATATAAAGAACCTGGCCGCAACAGCTTAAACTGGTTTTTATACTATGCGAATATCCTTTACAAGCAAAAAATATATTTTCATTTCAGTGGACAGACAAGCATAGATTGACAGCGAGTGAATGTATCCGTGTGACAGCAAGGCTTTGTAAATTTGTCTATGGAAATTCATAAAATTATTTTCGCCTTAGCATAGACAAAACACATGATTAAAAAAAACTTTTCCGCTCGGCCCAATAGATTATTATTTTTAGACTATGAACAAAAATAGAGCGACAGAATGTACCTAATTCTATTTTGGTGATAAATTATAAGAATTTAAATTAAATCAATAGAAAGACTGGCATTATATAAATTAAAAATATATATCGATTAAAAAAAAACACTCGGAACTTTAATCTAAACATATTTTAAATTCGAAGATTGAAAAAAATAAAAAAAAACGATCGGAAGACCTCTAGAATGTGTAATACGCTCTTAATAAATTAACAACATTGAATTTTATCATAAACAATCTCGTAAACGCTACTAATACATCATTGTATGTCAAACAGAACCTTTAAATTAAGCCATAATATGAAATATTAAGTTACAATGTTATAACACGATAAATTCGCTGTCAGACAGCCCTTAACTTGATTAGTGGCATTCATTCAATTTCCGGTACGCGTTAGCAAAACTTCAAGTAAATTGCACATGAAGGGCAATTCTCTAAACAGTGATAGAAGATAAACGTCGATATAAGTCGCACATAACGTCACACTAGATACGCCCGGCGACGTTACACGAGCACTGGAACAATACTAATATAGCTAGCTAGTTCAGTCATAAACTAATTAGAATTTCTCTAAATAAAACTGATATAAAAGTAAGGTATGTTTACAGAGTGTAAGGTATGTTGACAAATGCTATTAATATAAGACGATCCTCGAAAAAAAAGGGATATGTTTTTGAGAATGGGTGGTATATATGTAATATTGTAAATTAGAATTAATTTTACAAAAATCAACAAAAAATCATATCACCATTTTGAGAATAGCCCTCCAGGACGAACGTACGTACATTTTTAGACACGTTTTACCTCATTGCATCTTCGCAAGGTTAAAATAATAAACAAAAAGAGGACATTTAAAAATATTTTCATCTAATCTTAAGCTGTAAATGCCTGAGGTCATATTTTCGAGTTTAATGCTTCTTCAATGTTACACGACGATCATTATCTAGACATGTTGCAAAATTGTAATCAGGAAGTTACCAGAATGACATTAGAGCTAATATTAACATGGATTTTTTAAATGATAGTGGAGACAGCAGCATATCTGAATAAAATGCGTTGTCCGCCTATTTTGGTTTTGGATATTCGAAAATCCACAGACTGCAAACGAAACGCAATTAAACTTCACGGCTTTTTCATCTGTCGACGGTTATTCGTGACCCGGGCGGGATTTCGATAGTCATACCGCCCGGATTACCAGACGAAGTCCGACATGATTCAGAAAAAAATATAAATTTAAAAATTAGAAAAATGTTGACACTGGTGGGGATCGAACCCACGACCCGTTGATTATTAGCCATACATTTCTACCATTAGACCAACAAACCCGTCGAAAATGGGGGGTTAAAAAAAAAGAAAAAAAAAAAAACTTTTTTCTTTTTTTTTTTTAAATTTGGGGGAATTTTTTTTTATAACATTGACTCGTGCACATCAACTAAAATTATTAGAACTCCTTTAAGAATATATCTTATAACTTTGTATACGCTTGAATAGTTCTGGGTTTATTTTTCGGGAAACTTGACGAATTTTTCGGACACAAATTCTATGTTTGTAGAAAGGTCGGATATGCGAAATAGTTACGGGTATTCAATTACAAGTATAGAAGCTGAACCAGGTAAAATCCTTAATCCACAGTGCAAACAATACACAAACCAATCCATAAAAGGGCCTAAAGATCAAAGGTACAGATTATACAAGAAACAGTCTAGCTGTATCGCAAGAATTTCATAAAGAGATGCCACAGATAACATCGAAATCAGCCGTCGGGGTGTGGTATGTTAAAACGTATGCCTATCGAGTAAGTTATGTTTATTATTATGGCAATAATTATAGATGAAATAAAAGCATTTTACCGCGTTTTGCATTATCCTGGTATCTACAGTGACTATAGTATTGCCAGACTAACAGATAACCTAAGTACTATCTGTAGTTTACGCTAGTAGAGCACATTTAAATAAAACACTTTTAACTGCTTAAATCGTAAAACGTTACAATTAACAGTCCCCCGTGACCACGACTGCTGCAAAGCATCTGAGACGTCGGGCCGTAGTTAGAATAAATTGTAAATGAGTTCAACTAATACATTTCGCGTTTAAAAAACCTTGAATAAATCGATCTTATTACAACAGAGATGTGAAAATTGGCAAATTTATACGTTATCTAGATAATGGTCTACTATAATTATAGGCGCGAATTGCTCATTAGTGGCTTAAATATTTATATTATGAAAGTAATGACGAAACGCCTATTAAGTGTTTATAGTTCTAGAGATAAAAAATACATTGATTTCAAAAATATTTTATAGAGATGGCAACATAATTGGTTAATCCTATACCTGACTTGCAAAGAAGTTTTCTTATTTCCTTACAGAACAGACAAGCATGGTATTCTATTGTTGGAAGTTAAAATGCCCTTTAGCTCTGACCTGTTGATTATTAGCCAAAATACCGTTAGACCAACGATACGTTTTTTAATCAAGGCCTAAAAATATTCCGTAAATGTTTTGATGTTTGACTTTTTTTTTTTAGTTTTTAACAAAATGAAATTCCGTTTTTCCCCTTTGGTGCAGACACACCTCTATGTCTGTTTCACTGATCGCATTTATATACAACCAAATTGTTTATCATACTTCTGAAACCTGCCGGATAGAAGCATCGAATCCAAGTCCCTGCGCATTTTGTCTCAATGGAGAGCAACAGAAATATTCCGTTGTTTTTAATAATGTTTATATAAACAAGACAATTTTAAACATGGTGGTTTAAAATACAACGTTTATATCGCTGTAAAGTTTGAATACGAAAAGTAAACTCGCCTGAGTTATCAATCTATCTTGTCTGCTTGTTAATCGAATTAACACTAACAGACAAATGGACAAACCGCATCTAAATTATTACAAACAACATACAAGATTGTTCATTGTTTGTTCAGCACGTGTTGTTAGATATTACTAATTTACTAGACATAATCAGTCGTATATCGTCAACCTACTGTAATTAAATATTATATTGAGACCACCTTCGTAACTCGTTCAACGCAACTAGCATTGCTTTAAGCGAGACGGGGCGTGAGTTCGATTTCGAAGAGATTCCAGGCACACAATTCCATCAATTACTTGTCTGTTGATAAATTCGATCAGCGAAAGAGACGTGTGTTATTTTACATGTTTATTTTAATACAGAATAATCATTCATAGCTTATATTTTACAAAAATATACTTAACTTACCGACACTAGATTATACATTTTCAATGAGATAACTGGGTAATGATTTATTTATTCATTTAAAATAAAACGACATAAAACAAGATAAAATCACAAAAACATGTCCTATTCTAATGTTGTCAATTAAAATGCTATAAAGCAGTAATCTATTAAAGAAAATGACAAAGTAACTAAACGGGATTTCTAGAGATGCGCCCGCACCGGCGACGGACGCCACCTAGTGCAATGCGCAGCTGAGACGACGGTCATTCGCCCTAACGACGCACCTACGATACCTGTTTTGTATTTACACATCAATTTTTATACACATAAAGGTGTTTTCAGACTACGTTATTTTATACTAATTTATAGAGCAATATGTATAGTGTATTTTTTCTAGCTTGGCGTTTTGACTTACATTGATTTACACTAAAACAGACACTGGATCCTAATTAGAAAAAAGTACAATTTCATATTAAAACATTTAAAATCATAAAAATAATTTATGTAAATAGGCAGATTAAATGTCTTTAGTCTTAAAAACCCCTTTTTTTTTTTTCTCTTCCTTTGGGGAAAATCTTCCCCCTTAAAAAAGGTCACCATTGGTCTCCTTTGGTTTGAAATCGGGCCATTTTTTTGGGGTCTTTTGTCGGGTTAGAAAAAATCCCGTCGTATTATATAGAACAATCCCCGTGGGTGATGGGTGAACATATTTCTGTGTCCGTTTGACTGATTGCTTTTATTTACAGGCTAGAAGTTGATCAGGATTCTGTGGCCTACCCGGTCAAACCATCCAATGCTTCTCTGGGATTTAAGCCCAGGACGTCTCACGTTTAACGCAATGCTAGGCAACCGTTTAACCATTTGGCTACAGGGGCGATAATAAAATTAAGTGAATTGTTCAGCATAAATATCATGCTTTAATATTACAGCGCTATATGAAAAGAGCCTTACATTCTTGTGTTAGATAAATCTGACTGTTTGGACGTTGATTTACATAATTTCTTAATTTCTCCACGACGATACGAGGCGCTAAGTGTATTTCTTGAATTACTAGAAACGGTGGTTTTCGGTGTTACCATTTAATAGAAACAGTTATTTACATCAAAACTCTATGAACGTCAACGAAAAACTTCTTTTATATAACCTCTTTATATAAATAGCATTTTAGTAGTTCCCAACTGTCAATGCTTAAACATATTTCAGCTGTGGAATAATTTTATACGAGTAGATTAGGTAAGAAGTAAAAACAATCTTTAAATTGTATACTATATAACAATATGAATCATAGCAACGTTGTACATACATAAAATTAAGACAATATTATAAAGCTTTAAAGGTTTAAATGAAACACTTTAACGGTTTAAAACGCGATATATTAGTTAAACTTATTTGAAAATGATTTTTAACTTCGGCCCGACGTTGCGGATGCTTTGCAGCAGCCGTGGTCACGGGGAGACTGATTCTCAAACTCATTTTCAAATAAGTTTAACTAATATATCGCGTTTTAAACCGTTAAAGTGTTATATTTAAATGTGTACTACTCGCGTAAACTATAGACAGCTTTAAAGGTTGCCGTATTTTCAATGATTTTAGATTCCCACAGCTGGGTCTCGTGCATCATCATAGGGTATAAAACCCAATCTACCAAGGTATCTACTATCCACATGTTATCGATTTTTTGGTTCTAACGTAATATCGTAGTGTACCGCCGAAAGTAGAATTTCATATCATCTACATTGATGTAAAGACAAGTTTTCTGAGTAAAACAATGGAATGAGTCCGGCAGCACCCGCCGCGAAGCATTGGCCCATAGGTAAAATATTTTTAAATTAAGTCTTACTGATATATATCGCGTTTTAAACCGAACTTAAATAACCGCATTTAAATCAAATACAGTTAGTAAACTCGTATTTTATTTAATCGTACTACTCACGTAAACTACAGACAGTATTTGACAAGTTTTCTGATGAAAATTATATACCACCTTACTGATCTAGATCATCTAAGATCTCGAAAAGTAAAAGATTATTGTAGATCATCGGTGCGTTATTAAGTAATAGATCTTTTAAGTAGACAACCGAACTGTACTTAAATTTAATGTAAATCAAAGTTTTCTTTCTTTCAAAGCAACTTATTATCGCTAAATTTAATTCCGGATGCTTTGGTTCGCGGATCTGTAAAAGCTACAAAGAATAATACGCTAACTGAACTTAGCCAATTAACGAAGCCACAGGTAATAAACAAAACGAGTAATTATTTGCTTGAACTTGGCGCGTATTAATGGCCGTTTAGAGAATACAGTTAGGCAGACAACCGAACAGTTCCTACAACAATCACTCGTAAAATTGGTTTGTTACTCTTTCCGTGTATTTTAGTAGGAGAATGTTACATGACAAACAGGTGAATGTGTCAAATGTGTGTTTTAAAATAAGCCTATGTACCTTTTACATAAAAATGCCAGGGGTTGGAATCTGAGGAAATCGAACAGTTTCAGACATTTAGTTCGACGGACTCGTTGGTTGGTTAATCAGCGGATTGTGGATTCGATTCCCACCGGGTAAAACATTTATCTAATAAATTTATAATTTTTGTTGGATTTCGTCTGGAAATCTGGATATTGAATGTGTGGTATGTCTAAATTTCGTCCCGATCACGAAGCACAGATGAAAAAGCCATCAAGCTAATTTAAAAATCGAAAATAAATTGAAAAAGTTTTCGACTCGGGCAGGACTTGAACCGGCATCGTCAGCGTTCCGTGGCTTTGCTATTGGTTCATGTGCAATAACATGTAAAAAATAATAAAGTTTTCAAAAGCCATCAAGTTAATTCGCCTTCCGGTTTCAGTATACAGTATCTTTCCGAATATCCAAAGCCAAAGTAAGTCGACAACGCTTTGGGGTATTTCACCTTAACAGCAAGAGAAACAAATGTTTGTCTGTCCTTCTCTATAGTTGAAACAAAAATAGTTCTACTTAGTATTACTACTTGATAGATCTACTTGTTGTAACTTATTGTAAACGCGCAAAATGTGTCTACAGTGGAAGTACGTTTTACACAAGCAAGAGTAATGTATCCGTTCTTTAAATTCCGATGCAATCTGCTTTTATCAATTTGAATCGTTATAAGAATGCCTAAATTAAAATAATTAAACAATGTTATGAATATGTAACAATATCATTACACGATTTAATCTTAATAGTTTAAGTTTTTTTCCTTTAAATTTGCAACATTATGCCTAGGCTATTTTTGTTGTTAATTTTAAACAATTAGAACAATATTTTTTTTTACGATTTAGTGATAAAAATTTAAACAAACAAATCGATTAAGTGCTTCAATTTTAATTCGATACTTTTAAATTTTCACAGGTAAAGTTATAAGTATTAAATTAAATCTAGAATATCGACGTTAGATTTTAAATTCTCAGACTTGTTAGTTTTTTTTTAATTATTAATAAAAGTATTTATGTAGCAATATTCATTTATTGGGCTACCGTACACAAAACTACCCTCCTTCGACTTAAACATTCCATTCAGGTATCCTGACGCGATTTTCTCTGTAAAAATCTTTCAAACAAACACATTGATAGCATTCTTCAACCATTCACCCCATGGCGAATGGTTAAGAATAATGGTTTATAGTCCAGGTTTATTGCTATGGAAATCTTGGAAAAAAAATTAAATAAAATCGACGAATGTAATAGACAGACACAGAAATATGTCTGTCCCTTACATAATGTTTTAGAAACGAGATTTCAGCTTTAACTATAAGGAAAAATAATATGATATAGTTCTATGTACGATGCCTTCAAGTATACAGTTGAATATCAAATACTAAGGTCAGCTAGTCATGGTCTATCGTCGGAACTCGGAAACCCAAGCTTCTCGCTCAAATAACTCGACGTAACAGGGCGTATAATGTTTTAATCTTTCCGTATGTTCATACGATTTCATACTATCGACGCCCACTGCTGGGACTACGGCTGTAACAGGGGTAATAAGCCTCAATCTACCCAAGTTCTTAAATGTGTATTAGCAGATGTTTTTGTATTCACAATGTTTGTGTGTTTGTAAGACCCAACATCGGGGCAAGCTAGGCTTGTGTAAGTGAGCAGTAATATCTAATTTAATAGCTTGAACCCTGAAGTTCCTTTTTGTTGAAGTTCGATTAATTCCGATGTAAGCATTGAAACAAATTGAAGGTTAAGAAACATTGTTTTCTGCGCAGGATCTTTAGAATTTGCGACCGGATTACCAACTAGCGATCGCAGATACAAAAGCCGAAAGTCAAAATGTATTTGGGATTCTATAGGATGGTAGTAGTTATTGACATGTCATTTGTATAAAATGAAGATAATACGAGGTAGGATAATAAATTTAAAATCTACATAGATTTAAAAATATTAAAAAATACAAGGCCGGGACATGTAACCGGCACCTACAGCGTTCCGTGCTGCCAGTTTCGAGATGTTCAGAGCGTTAGTTTTTCAAAAATTGGTTTTTAAATTACGACATTCCATTTCTGTCCTCTATCAAGTCTCTATAGAAATGTAGACTTCGATATACGTCGTTCTTTTCAAAAAAAGTCAGAGTATTTTTAGACTTAAACCCTCAATATTTATTAGATGACTGGACTAGGCTGTAACACCCTTATAAATGCGCTGTCGTGACTCCACAAACAGTTGGAGTCGTTAAGCCGATACTGAATGTGGAATATCGATTCGAAATGTTTTACAATACATATAAAAACTGCTTTTATAGAATAGGATAATTATTTTAGACGCGAATGTAATTGTGTAGATTGCTAAGGTAGCAATCTGTGGTGCATGACTGAATCAAAAAAAAAATATAAATCTGTAGCTTTTTAAACGTCATTAGCTTTATAAACTTCAAAAAAGGCTTCTAATCCCTTTTTTTTTTATGTTTGTCAGGGTATAATTTTGACGTTTATGAACCGATCTTGGTTTTTTTTGTCGCTAATTAGGTATTTGCATTCAATAAGACTTTAAAATTATACAATAAATCACTTAAATGTAACTTATT